GGGGGGGGGGGGGGACGGGAAAGGGGGAGGGGGCGAGACCGAAGCCGGACTCGAGCGTACCTGGCTCTGCGAGGCGGCGTGAGCCGCCGCCGAGGTACTCAGACCCCGCCAAGCCCCAGGGCGGCGAGCGACGACCACCACCTGTGACAAACATACAAGCCTAAGAGGTCGGACCAGGCAGCCGCAGACCCCCAAACACAGCAGGGCCATGGCCTTCCCGTGGAAGCCCTGCGTAGACCCTCGGCTCTCCCGTACACCCTTGCCCAGCCCGACCCCGGCCTACTCGGGTCAGCCAGCGGACACTGCTCAGCGCCGCCATGTTCTGCGTAGGAAGTCGCGCGAGAAGTGACGCGAAGCTGGCGCCTCGACCTGGAACTTCGACTTCCTGTCCGCCGTGGCGGGCTTGGCGACTTTCCACTGCCGATCTGCCCTGCCCACCCATTCATTTATTTTCTAGCCTTATTTGGTAAAGTAAGATAACGGGACACACAACCGCTTTGTCTGTTTGCTTTGTTTTCAGTCGTCAAGCCTCATTTATGTTGAAACTTCCAGAAAGCACTATGTGGCTGTGAGCCTGAGTTTAGCAAGGCGTTGAGTATTCTAGAGAATCTGTATAAATGTTTTTGTGTTATGTGTTATTCCTTTCACTAGTATTCACTGTTAGGCACTAGACGCATTAAAGAAACACGTACCGTGCATGGGAGATGTGCCCATTTTTCTCCTTCAATCTAGTTACCGTGTATTTATCAAATCGCATTGCTTTTTACTGTAAGGTTTTATTCTTTGCTCTAAGCAGTTATTTCCCTAAGACTTTCCGCCAGGCTTGAACTTTGCCACCAACAGAAACGATATTTGCATAATACATTTCATTTGTGGCATGTATCTTAAAATACCATTTATCCTTGTGCCTACTTTGACATTATTGACCCAATGCTATTCGTGTTATTCAGTGCATTAATAAAGTAGCAGTGATACACAATTTATCTTTCTTTTTCATATTGGTTGATTGTGTGTGTGGTGTGTCCTTTCCAGCATGTGAGTTCCAGGGATTGAACTCAAGTCAGCATGCAACTTTACACACCGAGCCATCTTGCCAACCCCAATTTAGCTTTCTTCTTATCCTGTATTAACTTAGTGGGTTTTCTTTGTAATCTTTATTTTATGCATTTAAAGGCCTTCCCTAAGAAGTAACTCACTTGGCTTCCAAAGAAGTCCTTGGCACAAAAAGGATTCAGAATTTCTCTGTTAGATAGACATACTGGGTCTTTTTTCCACAAATCTGAGCAATCAAAGGAGTAATATAATAAATAACGATTCCTTGAAGATTGGATTCTGAAAAAAGATTTTTGGAAAAGGGAGCACTCCATCTGTGATTGTGGGATAAACTGGGTTTTACAAAGACAATGAGAGTGGCTTATAAGCAAAAGTAGTGTCTTTGCTTTCCTAGTGCAAAGATGAAAAGCGGTTCTTAAGCAAGGTTGAGAATCAGGGTTTACACCAATTATGAGCCTTCATCTGGGGCTGGACTGGTAAATTATGATTATATTCAGCTTCAAATGATAACATACAGCATATACACGGCCTTAACAAGAGAGGTTTAATTCTCACAAATTCAATCACGTGCTGGCGTATATCTCACTGCTAGAATACTTACCAGGTATGCACAAGGCCCTGGCTCCAATCCTTAGTACCGAAAAAACAAAGTTTAGCATTAGGCAATCCACAGTTGGAATGGCCCTCTATCCTGTCAAAGACAGATTCAGTATCTCACTGGCCCATTTTACATGACCTCCACTCCCAAGGTCATTCAAGATCCAAATGGTTATTCCAGATACAAAATAGTACAACTAGAATTGAACTAAGAAAGAGAAGAACAGAGGCCCCAGCCCTCTAATGGTACTTTCTTCAGCTGCACATGCAATCTGGGCCTGCATCACCCTTTCCTTCAAAGTTCTAGCTTTTGTTTCAAAATACCTTTTCTACACTAATATGACAAGCACATTCTCAACATTTTTTCTCATGTCATTATGGTTGTATAGTTGTTTTCATAAAATGTGGAACATAAATACAACTTTCTTCTCCAAAAGTTTAGCTAGTTCATTCAATATTAGTTATATATCTTTTTCTCCAGATAGTAAATTCTACCTTGGGGCTGGAGAGATGGCTCAGCAGTTAAGAGCACTGACTGTCCTTGCAGAGGACCCAGATTCAGTTCCCAGCACCCATGTGGTAGCTAACAACCATCCATAACTCCAGTTTCAGGAGATATGATGCCCTCTTCTGACCTCTATGGGCATTGCACACACATGGTGCACTTACATACATACAAAACACTCATACACATAAAATAAAAATTAATAATTTTTAAAGAAACTCTACCTTTATCAATATAAATGTTCCTTGACTTATGACAGGATCCCAAAAAGCACATTGTAAGTTGAAAATATTAAGTCAAAATGTATTTAAGGGGGCTGAAGAAATGGTTCAGCATTGAGTGCTTTCTGCTCTTTCAGAGGATGCACGTTTGATTCCCAGCACCCACATCAGGCAGCTTACAACTGCCTGAGACTCCAGCTCCAAGGGATCAATGCTCTTTTCTTGCTTCAAGGGGCTACATGTGGGTTATACTCACACAAAGCTGCATATACATAAGTAAAAAGTTTTTTTAATTTTTTTAGCTTTTTTTGTTGTCTTTTTTCAGGCAAGGTCTCCCAGTTGGCCTGGAACTCACTATGTAGACCAGACTGGCCTTGAATTCACCAGAGATCTGCCTGCCTCTGCCTCCCGAATGCTGGGATTTTTTTTTTTAAGCTTTTTAAGACAGTGTCTCCATATAGCCCCAGATTGCCTGGCACTTGCTGTATACACCAGGCTGGCCTTGACCTCACAGAAATCTGCCTGCCTCTGCCTCTGCCTCCTGGGTGCTGAGATTAAAAAGTGCTTCACCAGTCCTGACTTTAAAACAATCACTTCAGTGAGTGCCTATAACATACAGAATACAACATACAATGGCACAGAATGAATACTCCCTTTCCAAAAGGGAAGAATGGGGGATTAACAAAGAAGATCAAACTAAAGCAAAACCAAAACCAGCCAGGCGACACCAAATCCCATAACTCCATGCCTGGTGTCTGGGGCTTGAGATGAAATCATCTGTGCCCCAAAAGGATTAGGTAGCCCTGCTCTTCCAACTTTGTGGCCTTCACACACAGTCTCTCTCACACACAGGCTCTCTCAGGTTTGTTCCATTCCATGCATGCAACTTTCCTCAGTAGACATCCCATGGCTCTGACATCCCCAACATCCTGGGGTCTCCATTGCAACTTAGGCCTCATCTTCACATCTTCATGCAATGGCCTATCAGGATAAGGACTCCTACCCTGCCACACATTGCCTGATCTCAATGTCTCTCGTGGTGCAAGACACCATAATCCCTCTAATACCATATCTTTCACACCTGCAAAATCGGTGCTACATAGACAATGCTGTCAAGTTCTGCTGCTAGTTTGGGATGGAGCCTGGCCCCCTTGAACACAATCGCAGCAACCTCTACATGCTGACCCTGGGAAACACTTTCCTAGGCAGTTGTTTTGGGAGGAGCAGGAACCCATTCTGCAACATTCCTGGTAGGTATTCTCCTTTCAAATTAATTTTCATTTGCACAAGTTGAAGCCTTTTCCATTGTCCCAGTGCAGAGCACTGAGGTTTCTCTTTAACAATTACAGTCTCTTTTTCAGCACATATCTTGGTTACAACTTTAAACTTGCTTCAATAAAGCTGCTTTTAAAAATCTTTCTGTCCCAGCTGGGCATGGTGGCGCACACCTTTAATCCCAGCACTCGGGAGGCAGAGACAGGCAGATCTCTGTGAGTTCAAGGCCAGCCTGGTTTACATAGTGAATTGCAGGACAGCTGGGGTTACAGGGAGACCCTGTGTCAAAAAGACCAAAAAAAAAAATCTTTCTGTCCCACTTGTTGCCGTTTATTGTTGCTGTGTCTTAATTTAGTACTATTATTGTGTGTATGCCCTAGTGTATGTGCATGTGTATGCAACATGAAATGCATGTAGAGGTCAGAGGACAACTGTGTGCAATTGGTCCTCTTTTTCCATCTTTACGCGGGTTCCAGGGATTGAACTCAAGAAATCTGGCTTGGGTGGCAAGCGCTTTACCTACTGAGCCATCTTGATGACCCTCCATTTTATTTTTTGCAACATCTCATCATTGAACTTAGAGGTCACTGATGATCAGCAAGCTCTGAGGACCCACCTGCATTTGTCTCCCCAGTGATGGAATTAGAGCCATGTGGCCTCACTTCTGGCTTTTGTGTGGCTTCTTAGGATCTAAGCTTAGGTCCTTATTTTACTTACTGAGCCATTTCCCCAGTCCCAGATTTAACGTTCCAATTTCTTTCTCTTCTGTAATGTTTGTATCACTTCTTCGAAATCATGAAGGACATTCAGGAATCACTTTTCCATATGCAACATTCTCTGGATGGGGGAAACTCCACTGACGTGGGCATTCACAATGCAGATCTGCATAAGCATCAACACCAGAAATACATTCAACAGAAGAAGCCATTGAATTGGTCCAAAGTCCCCCACCTACTAGGCCACTTTAATTTGTCTTCTCCACTACAAACGTTGCTCTAAGCTCATCAGTTCATCTTGGGTGTTTACCCCCTTATAAGAAAATAAATCAAGGGATTTAGTGTGCATAACAAACTAGAAGCTAGAAGGTCATATCACTCCAACTCGGAGAGCAGGAAATGCAGGATGGTGGGGGAGGTAGGCCCATGGGAGGCAACTGGGAGGTTTTTATTTCTCCTTTGCTTCTGGCTTCAGGCTTGGCACTAGCAATGCTTCCTTCACGTACCTTCAGAGCCCAGCAGTCCCATTTTTTTATTGTTTCTGCTTCTCACTCAATGGTGTCTTAGCCAATCCTGCATGCATCCACATGGCTAGGTAAGATGGTGACCTGGGTGCTTGGGCTCATCAGAGCTATAAAACCTTTAAAGTTCTCTTTTCAAGAATTTAGTTTTTCAATAAAGCAGCTGGTGGGGGTGAGGAAATAGCTCAATGCAGCCACAAGTAATAGTATATCTAAAAACTAAACATGCACATAACAATAAAAAAGTGACAAAGAATTCAATTTGTAATATGATGTTTAATAGTGACTGATACCATCAGCTTCACACAGTTTGATCTGATGATATACATTTGGAAACTTCTCAATTTATGATGGTGCAACTTAGGATCTTA